ATCATATCTCTGGTTATTATCTTTTAACCGTTTTTTTTTTTTTTTTTTTTGTTTAATTGTGACTCAAATTTTAATTTTTTATTCAAAAAATGACAATTTTCTGATTTGAAGTTCAACAAAAAAGAATTCACAATCCTGACTTCAAGTTCGAAGTTCGAATATTCTAAATGTCGGACTGTGATTCAACCCTTTGAACTCGATTTGTTTTCAACCTTGTGTTTTCCACTTGTATCTCTTTTAAGGTAAATTAATAAATCGATACTTTGATTTTCTATAATTTCTTTAAAGTACGACAATTACCAAAATTATCAAAATCGTGACATCAAGTGAGTTCAATTCGAAAGGAAATTGGAATTTTCCGTGTCCAAATATTTTTCAAGAATCATTGTCAGAGTTTAATTCTCGATAGAGTGGCGCCTGAAGTTCGAGTCGGTGAATGCAGCGAAAAAAAAAAAAAAAAGGAGGGAGTCACGCGAACGTGTGAAGAATCGAATCATTCGTCAGACGTTTTCGCGACGATAAACGCGACTCGTAGAGCCGCTGGCGATAGCGCGAGCCGTAAGCTTTTATCATCGACCGACGCAGTCCGACCGCGACCGTGAAATTGCACGTCACGAACAAAGCCGCGCACATGAGCTGCGTCGTGTCAAAAAGTCACCCAGTCTCTCCCATTTCAGTCGGCAAACTGAACTGCCTCGACTTTTCCGCGTGGCTCTTGATTTCGCGCATCGATCGGCGAAAACTCGCTCGAAACAAGTACACCGCGCGACACCGCGCGCGCACCGTGTCGTAATTGCGACTAATTATGAATTCAGCGAGCAAACGTTGATGAACGCCCCGCGAGTTGCGCGCTGCTTATTTATCGAACTGCTACGTAATTAATTATGATTTAAACGCTGCGTAACAGACGCACGAATTGCTCGTGACGCGGAACATTGGTGATTAAATATGAATGCCAGCTGACATCGAACGAATATGGCGTTCTAACGTTCCACGTTCTATAATCAGAGTTCTCGAATCAGATTTTCGATCCACGTTCCTCTATGCTTTCTCTTCTGTCGTGAATCGAGTTAGACGGGATTTTACGCCCCGTCGCTTTTAACGAGGAAACCATGGTGCAAAGCTTGAAAGTCACAAATTCACACTGCACATCTGTACTTTGAAATGGGACATTTGTAAAGAATCACTCCAAAATACTAAATAGTTTACATTTGCAAGGAGTAAATAGCTACAATTAACCGATGATACTTTTCTCTTTCGAGTAAAAGAAATTTTAGTCATTTTAATTTTTTTTTTTTTTTTTTTTGACAAAATGTCTAATTTAAGTATGAAAGATTCGATAAGCGTGGTATTTTCTATTGTGACAATAAGACTGAATTTTGGCATTGAAGTTTGTTATGAAAAGTTTGAGTTTTATCATTTGGGGGACTTTGTATTTTCAGAGCGCTTAATTTTTTTGAACTATGATTCGCACAAAGAAGGAAAGAAATACATCTATATTACAGCTCTTAGCTCTCAGCTGTGAGATTCTATCGTCACAGCAATGGCAGTGTCATTCGACGTAGAACGAATTATGACCTCATCCTCCCGAGGCAAAGTAATTATTCAGTACTCTATTATTCAATTCAGTTAATCCAAATTCAGGTTAATCGAAATGTTTACACGTAATCCTCGATAGAGTTACAATTAAGACGGTGCCGACAGTTTAACGTCGAATTCACGACGAAACTCGAACGACGGATGATCTAGCAATAGATGTTTGATCGAAATTTATATCGACAATTTGAGAAGCATCGAAGAGAACAAATTATTCTCGTGTCTGTTTACAGAGATTCATATTATCTAGAAGCTAGATTTTTTTTTAACAACGGGTGCACTTTTGAAAAAAGTAACTAAAACTCGAAACTATGAAAAAATGTCCTTCGTTCGTCGAGCAGAGTTGCGTTTAATCCTCGGATCATAGCCGAGTGAAATCGATTCTCTCCGAGCGTTTTGCGCGCGCGACGGGGGCCGCCATTTGAAAAATTTTCCACTGGCAGCCCTACGACCTTACACGGGCCGGCATTCGAGTTCGACTTCGACCGATGAAACAGCAACTTTTTCATTCGAAAGCCGTACACGGCCACGTGTCGTCGCATCGAAACTAATAAGACGCAGCCGACGCCACGTGACTAGCCAGATTAATGATTGTACGACGGCCGGTTGACTCCGTGCCGGATAGGGATGGGATCGAGTCCCATACGAATCACAGTCGAGCGTTTGACGAATCTGAGCCGATCTTCAAATATTCGAGATGATTTTCGGGAAACGTTAGCCGGCTCAATGTTCATAGAAAATCATTTGAAGAATTTTTTGGTTGTTTCAGCTTCTCACCATAAAATTTCGTGCAAGCGCGGTGACAAATGAATTAAAATAGTCAAATCTTCTAAATTCGCGATTCTAAATTAGAATCGAGGAAGCGTGAAAAATTCGCGAGAAAAAATTCTAACTTTAAAATTTCCAGCGAACATTTGGAAAATTCGTGGAAAACAACGAACAAATAAGACATCGATCGAAACGTTCCGAGTGGCCGTCGTGGATTCGCGTAGAACGGAGAAAGCGTTGAAAAGATTCGAATTCGAAGCGTAAACTCTCCTAAAATTTGTAAAAGAGCTTGGAGATGACAAGTGATGACAAATAAATATAAAAAAGTCGATCGAAAGCTTGCAAATGCCCGCGGTAAATTCGCGCAGAACCGCGCGAGGAGGCGTGAAAAAATTCGCCAGCGGTTCCTCTCCTGGATTCTGTGCGTTCTGGCGGAAGAGGAGCGCGTGTCTGACTTTCACACGCCTCGTACCACTTTCCATTGTCGGCGACAGCGCAAAAGCACCTCGTCGCAAGACGAGGCGGGCGAGAAAGCCGCGGCTCTCGAGTGCAGAACCCGAGACCTTGAGTGCCTTGCGTGTGCACTCGCGCGTCGGTACGTCCCTGAGCGGCAAACAGGAACACGACGATTATCCGGCAAATGAATGAAATCGAGTGAACCGGTTCACTCGCGTACGTACTAACCGCTCGCTCTCGTTCGCTGCGGATCCGCCTTAAACCAGAACCGCTTCTTCATCGTGAATGGTCGTGCACCGCGTGGCACTGGAGATGGAAATCCAGTACCTCCGCTGAACCTTTAGACCCGAAGCCTTTCGAAACGTCTTTCCAACTCGGTGCTTCCAAGCATAATCGAATCTATCGCGCGACCGGTTCAAATTTTCGTATGAAATGAGAGTAATATTTCACGAAGTGGATAGAGATGTACATCGTAAGTAGACTGAATTTTCAGCGTCTCGACATGTTTGCGTTTGTCCATTTATTTCCACTATTCAGTGCGCCATTCAGGAAAATGTCTGTTTAAAATCAAGTTTATCAAGAAGATAATTTTGGTGATGGTTTTCACGTTGGAACTACCTAAAATGGTCAGAATGACCAATTGATAATTTTTGTTAGACATAGGACAGTTTTTAGTGACTTGAATGAGAATAAATATAAAACATTTTTACAGATTTGAATGATTCTCCGCAAAATACGCAAAGGAAAGCTCGCGTAGCTTATATTATATTATAAATATTTTCTGTTTCTTTTTTTACTTTTTTTAATGTCTGTGATAAAAATTTTATGCGTTACTTGTCGGTAGTTAGAATTATCAGCGTATCATTTACTTTCCTTCTATTTTAAGGTGTTTTATTATCTTAAACCACTATAATATGCACATTGGAAATGTAAGAGTATTTTTTGTTCCGCGAAGCACGCGTGTATTAAACTTTTAAGTAACGGTTCAATGTCGTAACGACTATGTAGCTGTTAGCTATAATTATCACCTATTACGGATACGTGGCACGATAATTCAAATTAAATTTATGTAGACGTCAGCAGATACGTTTTTAATGTCATTAGCATCTTGATCAATAATTTATTACAATTAAAATATGCATGATGCCAGAGCGTTTCATTGATCGAAAGTAAATTGAACGTAGATATTTTTCCTGCCTCGTCAATTCGCGAGACGAGATCCCGTCCTCATCGAACTTTGCACAGTGTGCTAAAATATTCCGACAAAGTGTCGACCAGTTCAAGAATTCATTGCGCACGTCTTGCAATTCGGAGGAAATGATTTTATTTGTCGTTGAAATTCCAAATTTCCTTTATTCTTTACATGTCGTTTCACTCTCCTCTTGCGAAATAAATTATACTTATTACAAATACTTATAAATTAAATTATACTAAATTAAAATCAATGGAAATTGAGTTATAAAATTAATTTTCTTCCTTTATTGATTTGAATTAGAAGTTTCCAATTTGAGAGTAACCCAGTTATCGAGTTAAAGAGTCTCGTTCGAAGTATACTATATACGTGTATATATTTGAAGTGTCGAAATATAGTTGTGGGCAACAGTGTCCCTTGAGAAATATGTGGCGGAGAACGCGAGTGAACGATAGATCAGCAACGTGACACAGCTACCGCGAATTTATCGATGTCATAATCGACATTTTTACCGTTACATAAAACGCTTCCTAGGCTTTTTTCCTTCGCGAACTCAGCTGTCACGCGTTACATAAATCTATCGTGGTAGGCTGTTCTCGTGCATGGATTTCCTATTTCTCCGCTTTCTATCACTCGCGCGGGCTAAAAACCTGCGAAAGAACGCCCCCCGGGGAATGCACCTTGTCGCGACGCCGCAACGCCGTGCGAAAAACCATAAAACTGAAAGAACGAAAGCCGGAGGATAATGCAGACAGGAAATACAATTCGGTTTCAATCATTACAAAATGTTACTGTCAAGCGTAGCTAAATTATCGCTGGATTTTAATTCTTAAAGAAAGTACAATTAAATATAAAATTTATAATTTAATTTCAATTTTTATTTTTATTTTTAATCTTTAATAAAATACAATTAGATGTAACCAACTTCAATTATGATATATCAATAATTTAATTATTACAATTGCATATTTTCTTACATATTGCAAATAATTTCAATTCCTCGAGTACTGATTTTTTTTTTTTTTTTTCTTTTTAACCTAACACCACGCTGCTCAAACATTCTACGCTATTGAACATCCTCTTCTTCAGAAATGTGTGACCTGTCGTTACAACTCGTAAAATCCGTGAGAAATCCTCGAACCGCAGAATTTTGTATTCAACTCTTTACGTAAAACGTGTGTCCGATTGCTTTTATTACAAACGCGAGAGCATTGTGCATTATCGATGGTCGAAAAATCGTTTCGGACGTTCCTCTCACTCGAGAGTTTTCTTTCGTAACGAATCGTGCATGCGTGAAATGGTATTTCGAGCCGCAAGCACGAGTCAGAGAAATGATTATTTACGGCGAAAAAGGAAACGGCCGCTTAAACACGACGAGCAAGCGTTTTTACGTACAAACGTTTTTCAATTGGCACGGGACTTACCCGATATTCGCTCGTTTTCTAGAACGGCCGTGAGTCGCCTAATCTTTCCGACGAGGTCGAGACTTGGCGACGCGAGCATCGTGACGCTAATTTGACGTCGCATGGATATTACACGGACGAGAAATGAGAAATACTTTTGGAAATACTTTTGGAAATTTTCAAAGAGCCGAAGAGTCCTTCAATTCCATGCTTTTTATCCTATTTTAATAGGCATCGTACTTGTATGAGAAGTAAGAAACGTTCTTAGGAATTTCACATTGAGAGAATCTCTTTTTCCGTGAAATTTTTCGAACTTTACGTTTGAGGAAATGATTCAGTCGATGCCGAGCCACGTGACAGACACTGAGAGCAGAAAATGTGAAAATAATCGATCGAAGTCAAATTCTCGGAGCGTGAAGGAAATGTCTGTTTTGTAATTTTATGAAGTCCCAGGGAGTCGAAGTCGTGGCAAACAAACCTTCGAGGCGAGTTTGTCCACTTCTGTACGGGTATCGCGCGTCTTCTGACGCAACCTCTGACGGATCGGATAAAATTTCTAAGCAGATCAAGTGCGTACACGCGCGAGCATCTGTTCGGTCATGGTCGTCGCGAGACCATGGTCACCGTAGAAAACACACACGATACAGTCGCTTGTTTACGAAGTAAAACTTCTTCTGTAAAAAGAACCTCAAAAAAATATTTAAATTAGAAAGATCAATCATTTCTCGTATTTTTTCTGCAAGTGTATCGTAATAATTCATCGCAGAAACCTAACGCGTAAAATGTTTGTAATCTCTAAAAGAAATAGTAGAAAATTACTTTACGTACCAGATATTATAGAAAACAGCTTCAAATGTTTCTCGACTTCAAAGACTATTCTTATAACTTGTAATAAACAACTCAATATTTTATAACTTCTCAGATAAATTGCACTGCCAAAAATTCCATTTGAAAAACCGAAACGAACCGATCGGCGCGTTTAAATTGCAAATAGCGAGTTTTCCAGAGACGCGATAAGATTATCGACGGTTCCGCGCGTGCAAAGGAACAGAGTTCGACTTGTTTTCTCGCGTTTTCTGTTTCTTCTTCTTCTTTTTCCTTTTTTTTTTTTTTTTTTCTTCGCTTTGCGTCTGTTTTGTCGCCACCGTCTTTATGCTGCTAATTACACGCCGGCAAACGCTATTTCTTTCTCATTAATATTTCCTCCGGCTTCGCCGAGTTTCCCCCGGCGTCTTTCAATGCAATGGAATGATCGACGGTTTCCCCGGCTTATTTCCGTGTTCGTTCGTCTGACGCTCGATTCCCCCCAACGTGAGGTGTTCGTCGATTTCTAGAAACTAATTGACTCGGTTCCAGAGGAAAGGTTAATGTGATACAAAGGTGGCTTTTTTCCCTGCGTAGCTCCTTCTGATTATGCTCGTTCGAAAGACTTTGTCCCACAGCGTTGGCCGTATGTCTGTGCGTGTGTGTATATGTGTTACGCGATAAATATTTTTCTCGACGCGTAGGGAAATTATGCTGGAAGATTATAAATGTTTTCTAAATGTATGCGATATTTCTGTGATTTTGTGATTCTGTAATTCGAAACTTCTTTCTAAATATTGAACGAATCAATTACTGCTCGAATTTAAATTAAAGTAGTTGGAATATAGTTGCATTCCAAGTCTCCCACAGATAATTGTAATCTTGATACAAGGATCAATTAGCTTTCACCTAACTGACAAGCGCAACCTTGTAAAGGCAACACCTTTCTTCCTCCAACAGGTCAGTTAGTCTATTCCTTAATACCACGGGCATTAATAGCTCGACCATCAGTCGACAATTCAAAGAAACATCTCGCCCGTTGAACACCGTGAACACTTGCTTGAGAAAAAGCGTCGAATGCCATTCGAGACGCGTGGACACAAAGGTGCAGGCATTTCTGAGTTGCAAAACCAGAATTCTTCCAATGTTCTTTAGAGAATTGCATTTGCATAACAGGCGCGTGCCACGCGTTGCAAAAGCCTTAGACCATTTACCAAATAGAATAGTTCTCCTCACATAGCACACTAGTCAATCGAGGACAGAAGAATGTTCCATTGGCATCCGCTTTATAGAACTTACCAATTACCAGTTGCTTCAGAAAGACAAACAAAATTGTTTCCAACAACAATGAGTATTAAACCTCTTTAAATTTCCTCGTAAAATTGCAGAATCTAGATGGCATAGCGACGAGAAAATATTTAAACAATTCTTGAAACTTTTCGCAACAAAATTCAAAAAGTTTCTCAAACAATTTTGCTAGATACCAGAAATTAAAATTTGATACACAAATCCACGACTTTCGCTCGTGATAATGGGACATTTTCTTTTGTTCTTTATTTTACGCGATCTTGAACTTCTTGAATTGTCACCAACGCGAAACACGCTCGCGCTGATACAGAGGCTTTCGTAACTAGCTCGTAATCATAGCGGAAAATGTGCATATCACTCGCCGCCGTGTTTATTACTGTTGATCGACGGTATTTGCCGAATACCTCGGGTCACTTCGTTCTTGCCAAGGAAAACGGCGAAACAGGAAACTCTCCTCCGTGGAAACGTAGAGCTGGTGCAACGAACTTCGAGCTTTGAAGAAATTGATCGATCAAAATGGAGTTCGTTAGATAGTAATAAAAAAAAAATTAAGTATAAAAGAAATTTATCGACTTTAGTGTTTTATTCAAAGTTTTATTTTAAATAAAATATTTTAAACCACTATTGTATAATGAAGAACTATCGTCCCAAACACTAATTATTAAAAATAAATATTTACGAGTGGAGACGTAGAAGATTTTAGTGTTTTATATAAAGTTTTATTTTAACTAAAATATTTTTAATAAAATATTTTAAACCACTATTGTATAATGAAGAACTATCGCCCCAAACACTAATTATTAAAAATAAATATTTGCGAGTGGAGACGTAGGAGATTTTAGTGTTTTATATAAAGTTTTATTTGAACTAAAATATTTTTAATAAAATATTTTAAATCACTGTTGTATAATGAAGAACTATCGTCCCAAACACTAATTATTAAAAATAAATATTTGCGAGTGGAGACGTAGGAAATTTTAGTGTTTTATATAAAGTTTTATTTGAACTAAAATATTTTTAATAAAATATTTTAAATCACTGTTGTATAATGAAGAACTATCGTTCCAAACACTAATTATTAAAAATAAATATTTGCGAGTGGAGATGTAGGAGATTTTAGTGCTTTATATAAAGTTTTATTTTAACTAAAATATTTGTAATAAAATATTTTAAATCACTATTGTATAATGAAGAACTATCGTCCAAACACTAATTATTAAAATAAATATTTGCGAGTGGAGACGTAGAAGATGCGCACAGGCAATACAGTGGATATTTACTTACGTAGCGTGGACCTTCGGTGTAGAAAACTAATAGCGGACGTTTTGTCACGGGTGGAAGCAGTATCGTATCCCCTACATTGATCAAAAAATTACGTGACATAGTATAGTCTCGTCGAAAAATTTGGAGCATATCTTTCATTGAATAAAGCAGCTGAAATTTTGCAACTGTGCAGATACATGTACGTAAACAGGGAGGAATCAGTCATTTTCGATTAGTTCCTGTCTGTCAGCCTTTCGAGACAAGGTCGGCTTTACGCGAGCACAAGTCTTCAGATTCAGCGGAGTCATCTTTCACGCGAGTTCAACTGCACGTCGCTGATATGGAGAAAGCCTAAGAATCATTAATCGTGACGAAGAAACGGAAGAAAGTTGAATACTTCGGACAAATTGGCAAGTTCTCTGGGCGATTCTAAAAATCAAAGAAGTTCTCTTCGAACCTACGCTTCGTGAGACAAATTCGTGCAACGATAAAGGCTAAAGGGAAAACTGTTAAATTTTCTAAATATTCATCTCTCTAACGCCAATCTGAAGACTGTCCCTCATCGATCAACCTTCAAAAATGTAGCTATATTGAACTGTTCAGTTCTTGGGCGATTCTTAAATTCATAAAACTACAAAATTCTTTGTATCCTCGCCCTTTGAACTTGCACCAATTTGAAAACTTTTCGTCGTTGAAGAATTAATTGATTTAGCAAATCGCGTGATATTCACGTAAAATTCCATCCATCTTCAACTGCTTGACTCTTGAGTGATCGTCAAATTAAAGAAAAAAAAAAAAAAAAAAAATCACAAAACTTTGAACTTCGACCATTCAAGAATAAATTAATTTAACAACTCGGACGCACCTTTACGTAAAATTCCATCCGTCTCCAATTGCTTGACCATTGAGTGTCGAATTCAAGAAAATGTTCCTTGAACTTCCGGATTCTGTAGCCTTTGCCTCGCAATTTCGAACGTTGTTCACCGTCGGGTTTTCACTATCGTCGAAATCCAGCGAGCCGGCCCGATAAATCATGCACGTGCGACAGACCTTCGTGCAAAATGCAGCGTTATCGATCGCACGGCCCGCGATATTGTTTGTTTCCATCCCTAGGAATTGCATAACACGGCGATTGCGATTGCGTGGCCTGGGCCAAGTACAATACACGCAGCGCGATGCCGCGACGCAATGTTAAACGTTTCGCGTTGCTACACATGGCCACGCACGTGCGTGACCGTCGTACGCGCTGCCACTGACATGCACTTGCCATTCATAAACTGTCGGATCGCTGAAAAATTCCACGCTTCTTCCCCGAGTGAAACATTCTCTCCGTTGCTTCGTTCATTTGCCATGTCGGAGATCTTGACCTCCGTTATCAGGAAAAGATTTTACATGGAAAATATTTTATCGAAAGGTTAAAGAAAGCTGTTTGTCTGTCTACGTAGTTTAGATTAGACTGTGCCGCGGACATCTGCACAGTTTATCTTCCGTCTGTTTTGATTTCTTCAAAATTTAATTACTATTTAAATGAAATTTTTGAACTCAGCCCTGTATATCCGAAGTGATAACAAAGTGTTGCCTATATTTGTGATTATTGCATCGATGATTTATAGTTGTGCAAAATTTCATTTTAGTATAATTATAATATTTTAGTATAATTATAAGTTTTTCTTTGTATAATCATTTTAGTATAATTATAGTATAATTATAATATAATTATATTATATTATGATTATACTATATAGTGTAATTATAATTTAATATAATATTATATACAATTATATTCTTATAATATAATATTATTACATATATATTAATATTATCAATTATATAATATTAATATATACTATATTTTATATATATTAATATTATTATATTATATATACTCTAGTTAGATGTCGTATGTGTGACAGTGATAACAATTTGTAAGATCAGTCAGGAGAAATTGTTACAAATTACTTTATTATTTATTCCGTTATCGAAACATCCTTATGTTTGTTGTATCGTCAACATTTTGTTTCACTTTCTCCCCGTGCTTTACAACGATCGGTACAGTTGTCGATTTTTAATTACACGAACGACACTCCTCGTCTTGTTATTCGAAACATATACAACACGTTTTGCAACGATTCACAACGGCGGATGTTGATATGTTAAGTCACGATTCCGTCTCCTCCTCCCTCCCTCCTATTTTTTTGTTTTTTTAATTGTGTTATATAATTTTATTCTTCGTTTTCCGGTTGCGTGACGGTTACGCAACAAAATGGCTAATACTCCGAAACGACAACGTTCGACAGAGGCGAACGATAATTAATTGCGTTTTCTTCTGTCGCGCAAATTGCACTGCTCGTTCTGAATCTGTTCATTAAATCTCAGGAGATTTATACGCGCGCGTAACGAAATTATGATTTAACAAAATGGAAAAAAAAAAAGAAAGAAACCGATTCTGTAACTCTCGAATGTATCATCTTCTTATCTGGCTGTCATTATAGAGTACGATAATATACTACTGTAAATTCTGTGTCACGAAAATGTTTGAAATAAAAATCACGAGTGGAACACGTTTTTGATCCACTTAGAAATCCGATATGCTAAATATATTCGGAGCTTTTAAGAAAGTGTCTGCTATAATTAACTACTATTTTACGTTTCGTACATTTGTATTATGTTTAACTTAACGAAGCCAGAGAGCTGAATATCTTTCGTTTGATGACAAACAATTGCAATATCCAAATCATTTGTTCAAATTTTATATCTTTACATTTACGATAATATATTTACTCTATATTTCACGTTTGACATTATGCTTTATAATATAGTAATTTAACGAAGTTTCCGGAGTGAATTTTGTTTGAAGACAAACAATTGCAACATCTAAATCATTTGTTTCAAGTTTTATACGTAATTTACGCTCACGATAATATATTGTACGAAAGATACAGACGAATTGATATGAAGATGAATTATTCATCGAGGGATTTCCGTGAATGAATAAATTATTACGATCAGAAATATTGCACACCAATATTACGACGAATTAACGAATTCTCAATTGATCGGCAAATTGCCAATTAATTTGATCTCGTGAAATTGAAAAAGCTTGATTTATTACAATCAAGCCCAAGAAATGGAGATCTATTTTCGTTTGGAAAAAGAGGTCGAAACGGTTTTCTCTCAAACTGACCGTCGATAACGCTTATCGAACGATATAAAATCTTTTTCAATCGGTTTTACTTCCTAAAAATATTCCCGCTACTCCAATTTCGAGAGTCTTCTGATTTGGAAAGAAATTTGCTCGTCGTTGGGAGGGAGACGTCCCGTTTGTCTTTCAACAAGGTTACCGTTAAAATTGAACAAGGATTACGTAAAATCGAAACAATAAAACAGAAGCGTGTTTATCGTGTTTACAAATAACGAACTCAAGAATTTCAAAATGGACAATAAACTCGCGTTACTGACGCAACGCGGAAGATAAAATCGGTCCACGGTGAAATAGACGATTAAATAAGATTGTCTTGTATTATCTAGAATGGATAAAAACTGATTTATCGTCTTAGAATGAGAGACATTGAAACGAACGAAATCTATGCATCAGTGGAATAAACTTTTTGTCTTATTGTGACATTTTGTGAGATTCTAAGGTCAATTCGGTTCAGATAAAGGGTTCGTCTCTGTTCCGTGTTTCGTAGTTTTAAATCCTTTCTCCGAAAGATACTTTGGTTTCCAACCAATAGTTATCATCGTAAAATTTACATGAAAAATGTGACAATACATCCAGCGACGAGTATGAATACAAAAATTTCAAATTCAATTTAGTCTAGTCTAATTCTCTCTAATCTGTATAATTCTCTATTTTGACGACTTGAAAATGTTATTTATTCAGTTCTGAATGTTCTTTTCGATATTTACAATGTCACGTGTTCAGAGAAAGGATCGTGCGATCCTCTCCAAAAAAAAAAAGAATTTCGTTTCGCAAACACGCAAATTGTAGAACTTGATTGCAACCGAATTCCCGTGAGCTTCTTCGAACGATCTCTTCTTTAAAAAAAAAAACGAAAAAGAAACTTTCACTTACCGCGTCTTCTCGCGGTACGAATAAATTCAAAACGGAGGCAGATCTCCGATCGTGGCAGCCAGACGCAGGCCATAAATTACAAAAGATTTCGTTAATCACGGCCGAGTCATTCGACTCGAGAGATTGCTCAACGCAAATTTATGCCACGTCTACAATCGTACGCTCGAGAGAGAGAAAGAGAGAGAGAGAGAGAGAGAGAGAGAGAAAGAGAGAACATCGAGCAAACGCACGCAAATAGATCGTGGCGAAAAAATTTCCGCCGATCGACGAGGAGGAAGAAACCGAAGAGGAAACAGAAGACGCTCTAATTGAAGCTCGTAATCGTCGTCGGCGTTTGCGTCAGTTTTGCTAACGTGACCGCGGAATTCTACGTACGTTCGCCGTGATCTAACGTGATTTCTGTCGTCACGTGCCGGCGTGTGACCTATTCGAGCGCCAGGATCCGCGGGTCAACGCGCTGCGAATTCAGTTCCGTTTTACAACGACGAACGCGACCTCGCATACTCCTCTTTCTTCGGCAAACAATATTTCACAATTCACAAATATAATTTAAATTTAACACACGCGAGAGCTAAACATCGGCTGTTTAACATTTCGTAACGAAGTGTTGAACGTTTTAATTTTTAAACGAGACGGACTGTGTTTATTTAGGATTTGTTGTTGGTTAATTGTATTATATACTGGTTAGATCGGATTTATTTTGATGACATCATTTCTCTAGCCGACAAATAATGTTTTAACTGAGTGTATGTTCTTCTACTTTGTTAGAAATATTACTATAGACTGTACAAGGAAGAGCAATGTTTTCGCTCGGGGCAACCTAAGTTTAAAGCTTAAATACTAGAATAGTAGATCAGGTCGAAGGTCGCGTTGTCGAACAGTTGTACAAGAAATTTTAATGCCGGCGAATCTTTCGATGAGCGTCACCGCAATACTATTTTCACGAAATCTCCAGTTTCATAAAAAAAAAAATCATTGTATCATTTTTCTGCGACAAACGCGATAATCAAGCGAGTGATGAAATTTATCCGATGATGATTCACAATGAACTGCATTATAAATTTGCAACGATCGAGTTGAAAGTGTTCATTCTGCTACGAGATTATTCGTGACATGTACAGGGTGTTTATGACTTTTTTTCATTATTTTTAGGCGTACAATCAGCTTCCAAAGTGGGTCCCACAAGTTACGAGACACTCTGTATATCGACTAGATCGTTTACAGATCGTTCTTTTGTATATTTACAAACTACAACGTCGTACAATATCTCAGAGAGTTTGTATCGTCTGTTATTTATTGCGGGCATTGTCTCGATAGTACGAGCCTTCTGCAAAATAACAGCCTTTCAATAACAGAACGTCGAACGAGACAGAGAGTGACTCCCAACATGGCGATCGGTGAATTATTCAAAATCATGGTTTGATATTACGCATTACGAGTCGTGTAATATGTTTCGCAGCGAGTTTCTCGGAGCGTGGCTTGCTTCCTGATAACCTACGTGCCAATCGATACTTGCATTCCTACGGTACACATGTTTGGTCGAGAGAACTGTGCAACTGTTTCTCGTTACGTTCGCGTTCTCACACCTTGGACAAACTCGAAGTTATGAAAGACGCAATAAATCGGACTAAAAATTATTCAAATCATCGTCATCGTTCGAAATTCAATGATCAATATCACTTGCGTCGTGAGACGTAATTATGCACTTACAAATGCACTGAACAAACTTCTGACGATATTATTTCTTTTATATTACTAAATATATATATATATATATATATATTACTGAAATATAATAAGTTGTGATCGTTATATTCTCGAATGACGGAGTGTACGAAGAAGTTTGTTTTTTTAAAGAACTTTCAAGTTGTATACAGTGTATATTAATCTACGAAACAACACGACACCCTGTATATTGTCATTATCTGTCCCTCCACCATACATTCTCCACCAGTACGAATAACTCTGCAACAAAACCGACCTCCATACGGGTCGATCGTATATTTTTAGTCTTGGCGGCGCACCGATAAACGTCGTGCGAATAAAGAGAGATTTGCGACAAACAAAGGATGAAATGATCGAGAGGCCGGCTCGCACCTTAACGCCACGCTCATAAATACTACGATGCTCCATTATCGATCAATCACCCGGGCTTAACGCGTGTTTGACTCGAACAATGAGTTGAATTGTCCCGGCAAATTGACTTTGTTCGATCGTGGGTGAGCAAAGGTTCCGATCGCGATTGTATCGTTCGCAGAAATGAGGCGTCTACCTTTAATTTGCGAGACCTTTGAAGCGAGAGACTGTAAAGATTAAGCAAATTTCGACAACGATGAAAAACAGAGGTCTATTTTAATTTCTCGTTGGTCCACACCGATTTTTCGTTTCTCCTTCAGACGACTGTCAGAGGCCTGACCGTGGGCAATAATCGATCGACGATTGATCGGCCTTCGAGCGATGAAATATTGCGCGCGACATACTCGCGC